TGCAAATGGACCCAAAGACAGCAGGATTCTCACAGAGGGACCTGCCACAGCCTGCCTAGCCCTTCTTCCCCTTCCCCTCCCCTCCTTCCCTTTCTTCCTTCCTCTATTTCTTTTCTCTTTTTTTCTTTCTTTCTTCCTTCTTTTTTTTTGGGGGGGGGGGATTCTAGGGTTTGCACATTAAGTGCCATCCCACAGAACTATATACCGCCAGCCCTTTTTATTTGATTTCCATCTTAAGACAGAGTCTCACTAAATCTGCCTGCCTCAGCCTTCTCACTAGCTGGTTATTATAGGTGTATATCAACACGCCTGGCATCACAGCCTTTTCTTTAACAAAATCCAAACCAAAATTGACCTTTCAAAGTACATATTTTAAAGGAAGGGAGCTCTGTGTTGATAACAGACAATGACAACAACCCTGTTATCTGAGATAAGAATGCAAAAATAATAGCAGGAAGTTGTCAAAGTGTTATCAGATATGTCCATATTTGCTTCCATAAGAACTTAGAGTATATCAAATAATCTTAAGAAATATTCACACAGGAAAGAAAATGAAATCCCACTCAGTGAGCTGCCTGGAACTTTCAATTTCTCCTCCTTCTTCCCCTCTTTCTCATTCTTTTTTCTCCTCGTCCTCTTCCCTCTTCCTCTCCATCTCGCTCTCCGTTTTCTTCTTCCTTTTCCTCCGATTCGCTTCTCCTCACAGGGGGGTGTCAAGCAGGAGCTCCTAGGCATCAAGTTCAGACCTTGGATTGAATGCGGCACAATCATTGGCTTGTGCGTTCTCCAATGATGCCTGGGGCCTGGTTCCTCAAGTCATTGTAAGAGCGTGATTTCAAAGTGCTTCAGGGACACCAGGTCAGGTGCGAATGTCACTCAACACACAATTATGGCATAAGGGGCAAGGTAAGAAGGGAAGCAAGGAGGTGAGAGGGGTTTACAAAAATAGCTGAAGGGTTCTTGTTTCATGTCATCCCAACAAACAGAAGGGAACATGCGCTCAACATTACAGACTCCCAGCCTAGTAACAGCGGCTCAGGCCAGCCGACCCCTTCCCCAGATCTAACACCAGTCCCCTCTACACCACCCAGTGGGCCTGGCAACACCAGCAGGGCATAGTTTGGGAGTCCTGCTGGAAAAAATCTGGCAGAAGAAGTGCGCCTTCCCTGCTGGGCCTGAACTTCCATTCTTCCCTCCTGCAGTGTCCTGCAGCAGTGGTGGCACTGCCTGAGCCATACAAGCAGCCGCTGTAGGCTGAGTCTGATTGGCTGTTTGGTCAGAACCCAGAAGCCAGCTTATAGGAATCCACACAGTAAAGCCCAGGCTTATTGGGTTTCAGTTGGGAAACCATGTCATCCCCCAGAGCCCCAAACTACCCCACCCAGGTATGGGAGCAGCTATGGGTCACAGACAAAAGGGATTCTACCACTACATGTACCTGGATTAAGATGCCTCTTTACCCTTACAGGCCTAAGACTCTGACCCTGACAGAGAGATGAGAAAACCCTGACCTGAGAAAACCCTTCCGCCACCTTAGAGGCCCATGGGAAAATCAAGAACCAAGAAAGTCACAAATTGAGCATGAAAGATCAGTCAACTGCTCCAACCAAGATGAATTAGATGCTGGAATTAAAGGACAAGGATTTTGAGGCAGTTGTCATAAAATTTTTTTCTACAAAGAAAGAAAACATAGAAAAATCTTAGTGAAAAGTAGAGGTGACAAAAAAAGAACCAGTGAAAATTACAGAATTAAAAATATAATGACCAAAATAAAAATCTCTCTGGGTAGTCTTCAATATTAGAGAAATGACAGGATATAATCACTGAACTTGAGGACAGATCCACAGAACTCAGCCAATGTGAGTAACAGAAACATTAAAAAAGATGAGCAGAGCCTCTGGGGTTGTAGAAAAATAACAAAAGGCTACATTTACATCATTGGAGTCACAGCAAAGAGAAAGAGGGGCTAAAAAGGGTATTCAAATAGGTAAGGGCTGAGCATTTCTCAAGTTTGGCAAAGGCAAAAAGTTACAGAGTTTCGTTTTTTTTTTTTTGGTCTTTTTTGAGACAGGGTCTTGCTATGCAGTTCAGGCTGGCCTTGAGCTCAGTTTGTAGCTCAGGCTGGTCTCGAACTTGCAAGGAACCTCCCACTTCAGCCTCCTGAGTGCTGGGATTACAGGCGTGAGCCACCACACCCGGCTCAAAATTACAGAGTTAAAGAGGCTGAGCTAACCTCAGAGGATGTGACAGTGGATTTGTCAATCTGATTTGTTTCAGATCCACCTAGGGGATTAGTAAAGCACACTTTCCTGTCTATCGGGGTGGGTAACAGAAGTGTGACCTTGGTACTATGTCTGGTTTATGGCCCCTTCCCCTTGGCACCGTCCCCCTGCTCTGCTTTCTGGCCAGTAGGAACTGAGCAGCTCGGCTCCACCATACCTTATACCATGCTGCTTCTGCTTTGGAGCCAGCTGACTTGGACTGACTCTTTTGAAACTAGGAGCCTAATTATACCTCTCCTTTAAACTGTGAGTGCTGGGCATAATATCACAGTAATAAGAAAGCTGACTAACATGGAAAATTGGTACCAGAAAGTGGTATCTTTTTTGTGACTATACCTGACCATGTGGTTCAGAATTCTTTGAATATGATTTGGAAAAATTTGAAGATGCAGTTATAGAAGTTCTAGAATGCTATAAGCTGCGTTTCATTGGCTGTTTTGGTCAGAACCCAGAAGACTAGCTTATAGGAATCTAGACAGTAAAGCCCAGGCTTATTGGGTTTCAGTTGGGAAAAAGAACCCTGTTGGGAATTAGATTCAAGGCCATGCGTATTACATTGTGGGGGAGGGGAAAGTCTACATTGCAGCCATGTCCTGAGACTTTGCAGGAGACTGAGTTTAAAGATGATAGCGATGAGGCCTGTGTTTTTTCAGGGACATTTGAGTGATGATGGACTGAGGAAGTTTCAAGACAGTTCAGCATTCAGACACAAGATAGATACTGCTGGCTGCTTTTAGCTAGACTTACAGTGAGGATTAGAAGCAAAAAGCAGAGCAGAAATATTTCAGGAACAAATTTTGACCCCAAAAGGACCAGATGTCAAGTTGAGGCCAGTGAATGTGTGGTTGCTGAAGACCTTAGTGCCATTACAGAGACATCAAATACTTTGAACTGAGACAAGAAGAAACATGACCTGAGGTAGCTCAGGAAATGGCAGGACTCCACCTTTCACAGGTTTAGTGTTACAAAAATGTAAACCTTTTGTTTGAGTAGACAACCCCTGTGTATTCTGCTCAAAATGCAACCTAGAGAACTGGTTGCCTGGGATTCATTTCACTATGCTCAGCCATTCTAGGCAGTCAGAGACTGTTACAGCCATGGTCCAAGGGGGCCTGACTACGGCTTCAGGTGGCAATGGACCGTGAGGTCTTCTGTGTGATGCTGGTTGTTCAGGCATGCAGAACACAGAAGGTCATGGAGATGTTAAAGAAAGGCCTAGGAAGCCAAGCGATGCACTTCTGAGAGGGGGATGCATGAAGCCATAGTGCAGTGGAGATTTCAGAATATCAGAGGTGTCAGCAATGTGAAATGTCTGCAAAGGAAAGTGACAGGCAGTGAGTACAGTTAGCCAAGAGATAGGCCACGTGGGCTGTAACCACCAAGGTGCAGTGTGGGGCTACCGAAGCTCTTTGGAGTTCACATCCCTCCACCATGAGCCGTGGGTGCCACACTCGGAGCTACAGAACTGATTATTTGTCCTGGTAGGTTTTAGTCTTGCTTGATCCAGTTCTGTTCTTCCTTTCTGTTTCTTCTTTTTGGGATGGGGATGTTTGCCCTGTGTCATTGTATACGAGGTTAGGTAACTTGCCTTTTGAATGATACAAAGATTCACAGTTAAGAATTTGCCTTGACTCTTGAGAGACTTTGACTTGGACCTTTGAGCAATGCTGAGACTGTTGAGATTTTAGGGGAAGGGATTAGTAAATTTTTGGTTATACATAGGATAATAAAATGGCTATTTATTTGGAGAATAAGTATGGTGTGAGGAGAAATGTTTTGGTATCAAGTTGACAAGGGGTAGACTCTGACAAATAGGTTTATTGATTTGCTTCAGAGTCACCTAGAGGATTAGTAAAGCACAGTTCTAGTTGTGGCTAGGTGAGTCATGAAGGTGTGACTTTAGGGTCTATTTAAACTGGCCATGGGGCGCTATAATCCCAGCATTTGGGAGGCTGATGCAGGAGGACTGTTTGAGTTTGAGGCTAGCCTGGGCTACATAGTGACTTCAAAGCTAGTCTGGACCACATAGCAAAACTGTGTGTGTAAGAAACCAAGAAAAAAAAAAAAAATGAAAACATGCTGGGCGTGGTGGCACACATCTGTAATCCAAACTCTTGGAAGGCTGAGGCAGGAGATTAGTGTGAGTTTAAGGCCAGCCTGACCTACATAGCAAGTTCAAGGCCATCCTGAACTACAGATCGAGACCTTGTCGCAGAAAAAGTAAAAAGCATCTGTGTGTAAGTATATCTATTCATAAGAATATAAAAACAGATAACATTTACTACCAATATGAATTATCTCTAGCATTATGGAGATACATTAATTTTTTTCAGTACTTTCGTTTTCCTCATTTCTACAAAAATTTTACTTCTGTAACCAGAAAACAATAGTTTCATTTTGATGTTAAGCATTTTACTGTTGGTCACTATGGCAACAGCCTACCTCTTGCTGCCCTTGTCTCTCTCCCATCCATCTTGCCATCCCCTGCATTCTCAAAAGGTCACATCCCACCGCTCTCACCTTTTCTGGCCCCAACATGTTCCTGCCTCTCCTCTTCATTACTTTAGCCCTGATAGAAACCAAGATTCTTCTTTCTTCTTTCTTTTTAGTAGGCTGAGACAAGGTGGCATTTGCCAAATTTAAATGGGAAAATAGGAAAGTGCAGTACACACTGGCAGCAGTGAAACGGCTGTGGCAAGACGGCGTCATTTTACTCACCCTGTACGCTGTCCACTCCTGAGCTGCCATCCGTGGCTGCTGAGCACTTGAATCGTAGCTGTTCTAACCGGTGACATGCTGGGTTTCTGAACTATGCATCAGAACTGAGCGTGGTACACAGCTATAATCCCAGCTCTATGGAGGCTAAGCCAAAAGGGTTGTTGAGTTCAAGACTGGCCTAGGCTACAAAGTGAGCTCAGGCTAGCCTGGACTGCACAGTGAGACCCTGTCTCAAAAAAGTAAAAAAAAAAAAAAATTAAAATATACATCACATTTTGAAGACTTCATAACCAAAAGAGTATAAAATATCTCACTAATAATTTTGTACTGATCACATGATGAAATGATTTTGGTTATACAGGACTGAATAAAACTTTCTAAGCATTTATTCCCTTTGGTTTCTTTTTCTTTCTTTTTCAAACCTTTCTAGAAATGTAACTACTTTATTTAGAAGTTATTTTAGAAATGTAACTACTTTATTTAGAAGTTATTTAGAATATTTAACCTTATATATGCAGATCTTTGGTACTTCCACTGGATAGTGCTGCCCCAATTCTTTTTTTTTTTTTTTTATTGGTACTGGGGAGGAACTCATGACCACCTGCTTACAAGGCAGGTGCTTATGCCGCTGAGCTAAATCCCCAGCCCGCTGCCCCAATTCTTTTTCCCTTGTCTGCCTCTACCAGAAAGATTACAAAGCTAAGTACAATATCCACATCTAGGACCTCTGTCATCTAAGGCTGGTCATGTGACACAGCTCTGGCCAATGGGAAGTCAGCTGGGTGAGGATGATGTGGATCATGAGAAAGCTTTTGCTTCCCTAATAAAAAGAGACACAAGACGCATCCCTGCAGGTATTAGAATAACAAAAACCCAAACATCACAACATGAGGATGTGGAGAGGATGGTGAGGAAGTGGAGTAATGGGAACTCTCACTGATGGTGGGAACAGGAAGGTGCACAACTACTTTGGAAGACACTTTGGTGATTTCTCATAAACCTAAACATGATCTTATAATCCTTCTTTTTGGTCTTTACCCCCAAAGAGTTGAAAACTTATGCACATATAAAAATCTGCAAGTGGGTGTTCATAGCAGCTTTATTCATAATTGCTAAAACTTGCAAGCAACCAAGATGTCCCTCAGGAGGTGAACGAATAAATAAACTGCAGCACAATAGAATGTTATTCTGTGCCAAAAAGAAATGAACCTTCAAGCTGTGAAAAGACAGAAAAATCTTAAATGTATATTACTCAAAAAGAAGTAAATCTGAAAAGGCTACATACTGTATGTGTCGAACCATAACTCTCTAAAAAATGCAAAACTGTAGAGGCAGTAAGGTCAGTGGTTGCTGGGGGTCTATAGGGAGAGGAGTGAACAGATGGAACACAGGGGACATTTTTATCTTTTTTTTTTGGTACTGGGAATCAAACTCAAGACCTCGCTTGCCAGGCAGGTGCTTACACTGCTGAGCCAAATCCCTGGCCTTTGTTTTGTTTTGATTTGAGACAAGTCTTACTATGTTGTCCAGGCTCTCTCAAACTCCTGGATTGAAATTATCCTCTTGCCTCAGCCTCCCAAGTAGCTATAGTCATGTACCTCTGTGCCCAGTTCAGAAGATTTTTAAGGCAGTGAAAATACTCTGAAGGATATTAAAATGGTAAATACATGTCATTATAGCTTTGTGGAAACTTATAGAATGTACAGTTTCAAGATGAACCCCAGACTCTGGATGATAATGGTGTGTCAGTGTATGCTGGTCAGTTAAAACACTGCGGGGCATGCTGATAATGAAAGATGCTTCGGCCCTCCCCACACGCATAGCATCCTGCATTATTCACATTATCTGTGCCTTCCACACAATTTTACTGTGAACCCAGAACTCTTTCCAAAAATTTCTTAAAAGAAAAACAACAAAACAAAATAATGGATGCCATGAGCTCTGACTCTTTGCAATCCCTTTTTATTTTTTTCTGTCCAGAATGAAGGTTTAATGCCTGGAGCTGAGGTAGACAATTGGTGACCATGAGAACAAAAGCCACCCTGAAAAGGGGAGGAGGGATCCAAAGGCCTGAGCTCTTGAGGCCACACTAGTAATTATTTAGATCTCTTGTCACTGAAAAAAGTAAACCTTGATGGTTCACACACCTTTGGCGGCATTTTGTTACTAAGTACTTATGCATGTTCCTAACGAAAAATAGTTGTTTCCAAAGAACAGACCTGAGGCCATAAAACAGCAAGCACATAGTTTCCAAGGCTGCCACAGGCTTTCCAGGCTCCTCCTTGGTCTCCTCCCCCTCAACTTCTCTCCTGCTGCAGCTAGGTCCCCACCTTAGTTCATGCCCACAAAGAAACAATGTCATCTCATTGTAGGTCAAGACCCAAAAGACCCAGTTTAAAACTTCTGAGGCGTGGGAGGTGTAGCTCAGCAGTAAGGCACATGCTTAGCAAGCATGAGGTCCAGGGTTCAACACCCAGCACCACCACCAGCCATAAAAATTAAAGAAAAGCTTCTGAGATCTCTCTACAATGCTTCAATTTTCAGTCCAGGAAGTATGTATCAGTCGGACATTAGCAAAACTGTGACAGGGAATGTTGTCCTTATCCCAGGTCATCTGCTTTCCTCTCTATGGGAAGTAGTCAAACCCAAGAGCTTCTGGCTAATATTTTAATTGTATGAAAACTACAAATTTTGTATAACTGGAACCAGCCAGCACACAGTAGCGGGAAGGATGTTCCTTCACAGAGCTCTCCATCACCAGGGACTTTCCAGGTAAGCGTCCCAGTCCCATTGATTGTCTCTGGCTAGGGCAGGTGCTCTGTCAACATTCTGAGCATTCTCTTTGGCATGTGTTCCAATTTGTGTAATTCTCTCTTAGGTGTGCTGCGGGAGAAGGGAGGCTGGCCCTTTGCTAAGCCATAATATACGAACTCTTTTCAAAGCATCACACCACCTAAGCATCAGTCACAGTACCATCAGCCCGGTGCCTCTGTGCATAGTTGCTAGAATTGGAGCCAACAGAGTGAAATTTCATTGTTGCTAATAGGTACTAGGCAGCCTTAGCACTGGGGGCCAGTTGTTGGTTAGATTTGGGCTCTAGATCGAACTTGTACAGCCTTGGATAAACCATTGTTGTGGGACACTTCATCTAAAACATCCTTCTGGCTCCAGATTGCCTACCCTCCCATCCAGTGAATGATGCCTCCTATCTCAGATGAAAGGCTGAATTGGCAAACTCACTGGTGTCTGTTTTGCTCCTGCCACCTTTGTTATCTACCGTAGTAAGCAACATCTCTCAGTCCAGAGTTATCCTTCTTTCCTTTCTCTCCCACATAACAGAAACACTAACTTGACCTTCAAAATTCGCCCCAAAGGCAAGTGCTTCCCCCTTTTCCTAACCCCTCATCCAGTCCAAACCCTGTCACCTCCCATAGGGTGATTAAGCCTGCTATTTTGCCTCAGTGCCCACGATCACTCCCTCCACCCTGTTCTCTACTCAGCAGCAGAATGGTCCTATCGGTCAGGTCTTCCCAGGGTTCTTCCATTTCCAGTGAGATGAAATCTCAAGTTCTTTCTGTGGTCTTGAAGGTCATGGTCATTTGGACCACAACCTCTCTCTTGTGCTAGCTTCATTCCCTCCTCCTCTCAGCCTCTCTGGCTGGTCTCCCACCTCCGAGACTTTGCACAGCTACTCCCTCTGTGCAGATTATTCTTCTACACCTTCTTTTCCTCTATGTGGCAATGCTTTATTCTGTCATCACCTATTAGACTATAAATTACTTGGTGTGAGGTTCTTTATTTCATTTACTGCTGCATTACCAGCATCTGTGCATAGTGTCTCAGAAGGTGGTGAACAAATGAATGAACACATAAATGTATAAAAGCATGCTCAAAGCCTCTGTCTGATGACAGTGCCGACTTGCTTTCAAGATTTCTACTGAGGAATAAAGAGAAACATGTTCCTCGGTGTCCTAACAGACCTCACAGAGTTCATTCTGGTTGGACCAAAGATAGGACGCCCTCAGCCCTACCTGTTCAGGTGATTCTCTTTCTAGAGCTTCTCTAACTCCAAAGTAAAACACAGCAAGGGTTCAGAAACAGCACAAAGGCCTTTCCTGGTCTATCCTTCCTCTAGTACTGCTAGGCTTCTCTGAAAGTGGCCACAGGGGGGCAGAGGAAAAAGCCAATGGCGATGTCATGCGGCAATGCTCTGATAAATGAGCCCTTCCAAACTCTGACTGAGCCCTGCTGTGTGTAATATCAAGCAATGTACTAACAAGACAGACGAGGAAATTGCATCAAGGAAGCCAGCTCATCCTTGTGGAGATGAGAACACAGCATCTGATGTCTGCGTGACAACTACCTTAGCAGGGGTACAGGAACCATTCTGCTGTCAGCTTCAATACAGAAATAACACAGAAATTGGCAACAGACAGCACTCCCAGCTTCTGGACACTCACTTCCTGTGCGTCAGTGACACTATACTTCAGCAGTCAAATGGAAGGCCAGATATAGTAATTGGACTTGAGTAACGGAGGTAATGGTACGTAAATACAGCTTCCTCGTAAGTGTCCAGTAAGTGTTAGCTGCAATGTGAAATTCACTGGCGTCAGAACTTCCTGGGGGATTTATTTATTCATTTAACAAAAATTTGCTGGGCTCCAATAATATACCATAAATAAGCAGAATAGAAAGACTGCAAAAGATTATCCTGCCTTTTGTAATCTGGCAATCTAACAACCATGATGGTGGCAGAAAGAATAAACAACATTTATTTGAGCACTTGCTCTGGAAGATTCTTTAAGTGCAATATCTTGTTTAATGATCATATCATCCCTGGGTATTGCCATCCTTATTTCAGAAATGAGAAAAACAGAGACTCAGAAATTTATCCAAGGTCACACCAGGGCTCCCTTCTCCTTTGTCAAAGCTAATCCCCCAAACCTCCAGGAAACACTGTTTGTCCTCTAACCCAGTGGACTGATACGAGGATATATTAGGACCTCGTCCTCCAGTGAGTTAAGAGAGGGTTTCTGAAAGCAAAAGAGGAAAACTGCTAAGACCAGACACTCCTGCTCTGCCTAGTGGATGAGCTTAAGTCCAGGTGTCAGTCCAGGCTTGGAATCCATAGCAGGGCCAGACTGGCGGGCCCCAATAAATTTATCTATATGGCTGCCAACTGAGAAATAGCAAGACTTCAAGGGAAAACTTCATCTTCCCAGACTTCTTAGTGAGGTAGAGCCTCAGTTTCATTTTATCCTCAAGTGTCCTGGCATTTCTATGTTTTAGAAATTAAAGCATACATTTACTTTCCTCCCCCCAAGGGTGGTGGTATTTGACAGTATTTCCAGTTACTTCAGAGGCTGAGGCAGGAGGAGCCAAGAAGTTCAGACCAGCCTTCACATTTTAGAGAGACCCTGACTCAGTATAAAATCTTATTTTAAAAATTTTTATTAGTATATATTTTCAGTACATAATGATTATACTCATCATAGGGATTCTAATACATCTTGATTCTTTTAATGCCCCTTCCTCTCTTCTTGCTCTCTCAAAACATAATTTTTAAAAGGGATGAGGGTGTAGCTCAGTAACACAGCACTTTCTTAGCATATACCAGCAGCCCCAACAGGGAAGGAAGGAGGGGAAAGAAAGACCTAGCTTCATCTCAGAATCCCATAACCTCTTATCTTTAACTTCCTTAAAGTATTTGGCAATTTTTCTCACTAAGAAGTTAAGTCTTAGGGGCTGGGGATTTAGCTCAGCGGCATAAGCATTTGCCTTGCAAGCAGGCGGTCGTGAGTTCGATCCCTGGTACCAATAAAAATGAAAAAGACAAAAAAAAAGAGAGACTATAGAAGTTAAGTCTTAGTGTTAAGACTTAGTTAAGTCTAAGAGTTACTGACATAAGTGGTCATTTATTACCTTGCCAGAAAGGCTAAACATGCACAAATAACACCAGCATCCTTTATGGACAGATGAGGAAAGTAGTGACTTTCTCAAGGTTACACAAAAAGCCAGTAGCATCATCCACACCAAAGCCCACCTGACTCATAGCCCAGTTATCTTTTAGCCATTATACTGGCTCTTCTAACCATGCAAAAGGTTTGAAAATTTTGAGCAGAAAAAAGAAAAGTGTAAGCAAGTATTTCTGTTACCCATGTGACATGATTGTCCTGACTCCTTGAGGTAAGAGGCCTTGTGGGAGTAAGACAGAATAATCCTTACTAATCTTACAAAACAAACTTAACAGCAATAACAATAAAATGATATTCGCTGAGAATGGTGGCCCGCACCTGTGATCCCAGCACTTAGGAGGCTGAAGCAGGAGGATCTCTGCAAGTCTGAGGACAGCATAGGCTACATAATGAGTTCCAGTCCAGACCCTGAACTGCATAGTGAGACCCTGTCATAGAATAAAATAAAATACAATAAAGATAATAACAGAGCACTTACATAGCACTTATTATGTGCCTGGCACAGTTCGCTGCAAATATTAACTCATAATTGTCACAACTTTTCTAGGTGGGTACTTTCATTATCTTCACTTTTCTTTTCTTTTTTTTTGTCTTTTTCATTTTTATCGGTACCGGGGATCGAACTCACGACTGCCTGCTTGCAAGGCAGGTGCTTATGCCGCTGAGCTAAATCCTCAGCCCCTATCTTCACTTTTCAATGAAGCAAGATTAACCTTAAGTACAGAGGGGTTAACTAACAGGCCCATGGTCATCTAACAGCAATTAACACTTGCCATGTGCCAGAAACTAAGTTCACAAGTTGTACTAGGTCCTATTACAGTACCTTGTTTAATACTCAAAAGCAACCTTAAGATAATTACTGTCATTATCACCACTTTGAGAAGAAGCCAACAGGGCTCTGAGAGCACAACCTGCCCAGAGTCCATGCTCTTAATCACCACCTACGACGCTAAGGGTAGGAAAGCAGCCCCACGCTGGGCGCCCCTGGACCCGGGGCTGGGCAGAGATCTTTTGGCGGGGGCATCAGCAGCGCTCCTCAGGACTTCAGAGCTGCGTGAGGAAGCCCTGATTGGTCATCAGCCCAGGATCCCACTCTAGGATTCTCAGTGCACGGCGGGCCGCTACTGCCCCCTGCCGCCCAGGGACCTCCTCCAAGAGAACCCGCGCCCGGCTGAGGCGCGCAGCCACAGGTCCGCGTCCCGCGCGTCATCCCAGTATCCCACACCCTTGCTGGAGTAAAACGAGGCGGGCGGCCTAGTGCTTTCCGCGCCGTTCTCTCGGTCCTCACGTCCTTCCCCGCACCATCAGCCTCCCGCCCCTCTGTGTCCCTGCCCCCCGGAAGCGAGCCGTACAGCTCAGCAGCTCCCACGGACCGCGCGCGGGCTCCCTCACCCGGCAGCGGGTTGCCATGGTGAAGGACGCAGGTGACGCGCCTTAAGGTGCGGGACGGATGCGCTCCAAGTCTGTAGAAACAGCCCTTCGCCCTCCTCGGTTGCCATGGTGACGAGAGGCGGATTTGAAGTGCCGGAAGGGGTGGAGTCTGCAGAGAAATGCTTGCACTCTGGGTTGGTAAGGCGGCCTAGCCCTCAGGTTGCCATGGTGATGCGGGTCTCTATGAAGCGCCGAAAGTGGCGGAGTCCTAGATACTCTCGGTCTCCTGGAACTGGGGAAATCTCTTAGCCCCTTGTGCTGCTGGGTTTTTGCCAGCCACAAATCGGCAGAAGTGGGGATTTGAAGACGCAGAGACTGTCTGTGGGCTTTTGGAATTCCAAGCATGCTCTGGTGCCTGGTTGCCATAGTGACACAGCGGCAGTTAAGAGCCGGGTGAAAGGTCGTGTGGGATCTGCTTCTTGTCTTATGTCCCGGACTGCGGTTGTGGAGAGAGACAAGTGTTATGCTGGGACCTTGCTAAGACCCTTAGAACACTCAGGGTACGGAGCTGCTTCCTGGGCCCCCAGTTACCTCACCCTCCCGACCTCACAATGAGGGGTGGGTATGTGGTGGGTGGGCTGAGCCCCGTTGCTGCAGGAGCAAGTATCTGACCTTTTCAAGGCTGCCTAGTTTTTGGAAGCCATGGGCCTTCACGTGTTTAACTGGTGCTGTACTGGAAGACATTAATTTCCCCTCCAGTCTATCGTTTCTACAAACAGTAGAACTGTAATATACATAGTAATAGTTAGGTATATATACCTGTGTGTACATGTGCAATGTGCTCTGTGGAATAAATTTCCAGAAGTAAAATTACTGTGACAAAAGACAAACGCAATTTTAATTTTCATGGATATGACCAAATTGCCCTCCAAAGATACTAGCAAATTTACATCTTCAGTAAAACTGGAATCCAATCATTTAATGAGGACTATATACACAGTGATAAACTACTTGGAAAGGATTTTCCAGAGCCAGCACCATTAAGGCAATTTAATTCTTTGATTTTTTTAAATACAACATCATTAAACTATTCAATCCCATTTATTTCATAGTAAAGATTTTACTTCTTTAGTAATTTGTATGTCGAATTTTATTTTGGCTACTGTCATAGTGAGCTTTCTTATTTCACCCTCATTTTATTGAAAAAAAAAAAGGGGAGGGGAGTAGGGAAAAAAAGAAAAGAGCAACTCTCATGTTCAGAAGCTGGCCTGCCACAGCTTAGCTATGTAGTTCTTCTTTTTGACACAAACAACATCACAGAATTCCAAACTCAGAGTTATTTTGAGGCCATGATTCAAGGAAACAAGGCAAGTCTACTTTGTAATTTTCCCTAGATACAGAGAAAAAAGAACATACAGAGAAAAAAGCCACCCACAAAATATCAAATGTTATGTCCTCTCACTTGATGAGAACGAGCTACTTTTTTTTCTTAACAATTACAATTTTCGTGTTCTAGGCTGCTTTTCGTATTAATGGTCCATCCATTTATTAATGTCCCAATCAGGGAGTTGTTCCTGCTTCCTGACAACATCCAGTGTAGACCCTGAATCCAGCTTCCCCTGAGCCCTCCTCAACTCACTTAACTAAAGCACAGATCCAATCATAGAACCTTTTTTATACCCGTATACTGAAATAGCCTATTGCCTCCCAATTGGTGTGCATTCTCCCTCAATGGACCAGTAATAAACCCAACTTGTACAATGATAGATGTGTTTCTGGTGGTCTTTTCCTAGAGGGTATTGGCAGTAACAAGTTCTATTTTCTTTGGTAAAATTTTGTGGGTCTAAAATTTGTCAGTGACAGCCCTCTATACATGTTTAATAATAAATATTATATGGCCAATCTCTTTTTAGTTTGTATTGAGTGTTTCAACCAGATCTGATTTCCCCCAGATTTTGCCATTTCCAATGTTTTTTAAATACTCTAGCAAATTTAGCAGATGCAATCTCAACCATTTGTCAATTTTATGTTATATTTATTCTACCAGTGATAGTCACTGTGGATCAGACAGAAGGTGGAAGTATTTTATTTACTACTTGACTCAAGACCCTGTCTCAAAATAAAAATAAAAAATGGGCTGTGGAAATAGCTCAGTGTGAATGCCCTTGGTTTAATTCCTGATAACACACACACACACACACACACACACACACACACACACACACTCCAGTAAGGCAATGATGTAGGACCTGGATACAAAGCAAAGTAAAAATGTTCTGCTTTCATTGGCATGTTTCCTGGGTGCCACCATGCCACATACTGAGCACTGGGAACACAGGCTTGCCATGAAGTAACTCTTGGTTTAATAGGAGCTGGCAGGCCTCAGTTTGTCAGATGGAGGAGAATGAAAAAGGCTTTCCAGATGGAGGGCACAGCAAAACACTTATTCATTCAGTAAATATTTATTGGGAGCCTACTTGTGCCAGGACCTGGAGTGGGCACTGGGGATGCAGGAAGGAACAGGTTACATGCTGTCCCTTCCCCTCTGGGAGCTGGGTCCCATGAAAGCATGCATTAGATGATCACACCACTCACAAGATGTGGTAACTGCTGCAGAGTAAATCCTGAGGTTCTGCAGGCAGGTGGAGCAATGGCAGCCTGACAAGCGGGGCTGGAGAGGGCTTCTTTGAGAGGCTGATTTCTATCCTGAAATGTGAAGAATAAGTTGAAGTTTGACAGGCAAGAGGAGGTTGTCCCTGCCCCATGTCCTGGAGAGGGACACTCCAGGATGTGAGAAGCAACCCTGGAATGGAAAGCCTAGTTTCTAGGCCTTTGGAACATGCATTTGGAGAAGGGGCCTTTAAAGATACAGTAAGGTTAAGCAAGGTCATGTGGCCAGTCTAACATGATCGGTGTCCTTAGGAAGACACCAGGGATGCATGAGCACAGAAGAAGACGGCATGAGGACCCAGAGAAGGTGGCCGGCGGCAAGCCACAAAGAGAGGCCTCCAGAGACACCAGTCCTGCTGACACCTTGACCAGAGATTTCTTGCTTCCATAACTATGAGAAAATAAATTTCTGTTGTTTAAGTCCCTGGTCAGTGGCATTCTGTTAGGGCAATTCTTTCAGAATATCTAAATGACACCCTCAAATGTCCCCGAGTAATAAGAGGCAGACAAAATAAATGGTACTTCCATTTTATGAAAAAATCTTACCCCAAGATATACCCATACAAACTCAGGATTTCTACTTCATGACGAGTTTATGTAATATTCTTTCTTTGGCTTGTGAGGAATATCATTGTGTCTGCCACACAGGACTGAGACTGAGACTCAGCAGCAGCCACCAGGATACCATCTCCACAGCAGTGTGCTGGGTACAGGTTGCTTTAAGTTTGTTACTTATGGCAGTGATAACCTGAGTACTACCTGCATTGTTTCCTTTGCCTCCATTATTCTGGAATTTTATAATTTTATAAATTTGAGAATCATACATATGTTTTCTTTATGATTTCTTTCAGTATTTATGCACAATAAGATCAAGTAGTAACTATCTTTTCCACATATAAAAATTTACTGTATGAATTTTTTTAGAAGAAATAATCTTTCTAGTCATGGTGGGGTGGTACCTGCCTGTAATCCTAGCACTTTGGAGACTGAGGCAGGTAGATCTCTATAAGCTTGAGATCAACCTAGGCTACATAGTGAATTCAAGAACTACATAGTGAAATCCTATTTCAAAAGTAAAGCAATCCTGTCAAAAAAGTAAAAAAATAAGAAAGGGAAGAAGGAAAAAAGAAAGAATATTTGTAATAAGAGAGAAGACTCTTCTATGCAAATATTAAAATAACAAGAAAAAATGAGTTAGTGCCATATATACTGACATAAAAAGATGTCCAAACCATATGGGTTAAGTAAAATAAAAAAGAAGCATAAGAATAGATATGAACTTATTTTTGTTTTTTAAAATAACCATTTGTTAGTAGATACTTAAGGAAAAATCTGGATGTGTATATAGCCAACTTTTTAAACTGCTACAAAACTTATACCATTTAAAATCAGCATGAACTCTGCTAATGGTTTTCAGTAGCAGGGAAACTACAGTACATGATAATATGACAAAGGGCAATAGAGGAATATTGACCAGGGGTCACCTTGAGGGTGATGTCACATAGTAAATACTAGTAAACTTAATGTCTGTCTTTCAAAAACATAAACATAACCATAAATATGTAATACTCTTCCACCTCAAGAGATCATCTTTCATGCCCCATATGTCCTATTGGATAGAAAGCCGATGTTTATATAAATATACAGACTGAGCACTCTCCAATGGAGTGGAGCCTGATTCGTTAGCTGTGTGTTTATGCAATCAGAATCCTATTTTGTGCACAGAGCACCCAGTGTGTCTGATTCAGGAAACATGACCATTCTGAGGCCCCCAGACTATAAGCTCTTTGTTTTCATGTCTGAGAGAGGAGGAAGCTGTACTGTAAATGTTTCTCAGATGGCTTCCCACCAGTTTTCAGAGACCTCTGGGCCTCTTAGCCATTGACGAAGTATTTGAAGTGGCTGTTCTGGAATGAAGTGGTGTCCTTGGAGGAAATTGGACCGAGGATAACTGTTAACAGTGCAAATCTAAGCAGTCTTTGAACAAATGTATTTAAAGTTATTTAGTGTGATTCTGTGTAGCTGAGACGCACTGAAGAGGATCTGCTTATAAAAACTTGAATTTAATAAAAGAATTTAATCATGATTCTCATAATACATCAAAATACTGCTTTTCAGACTTTTTAACTACTTCTGCTTGAGGCTGAATTCCTGGCAAGGAGCCTAAGCTAAATGTGAAGGCACTTTACTGAGTGGAGAAATGAAGATTGAACATCGCCAAAGTGATTGCGTACATTTTGGAAAATTATTTCACTTATCAAAATGAAATTCACAGCACTTTTAAAGCCTGCAAATGATCAAACAGCATTGAATTAGAAAAGTGTTAATTGAGCAGTCTTTATGGAGCTCCTCTGTGCCAGGGACGGTGACAGAAGCACAATCATCCTGGGTGCCATTCATCGGGACACTTATAGAACCACATGCCAGGCAGAGGCAGGTCAGGGGCAGGTTATCTGCACAGCTGCCCAAAGCGCTAGTCCATCAGCAGCACTAACAATGCCAGGGGAACAGATGGGAAATGCATGCCAGGTACCTGGGAATCTCTCACAGGATTCCTTCAGAGGTGCCAAACTTCAGTGACTCCACTCCCACTTGGGCAGCACATATGATGTGACAAAGAGTAAAGTGCGTTGGAGGTGGGCTGAAGGCTTCCAGTGAAGTTGAGGACGGTACTTTTGAGTGAAGACTCCCCGTAGGTGAAGAAGGAGCCAGCCATGTGGGCAGCCAAGGTGAAAACATTCTAGGCAAAGGTATAGTGAGTGCAAATGACCCGAATCAGGGACTGGGACTGGAGCACAAAGAGCCTGGGAGAGAGGTATAGATAAGGCTTGGAGGTAGTCAGGAGCTGCAGGAAAAACGATGTACAGTTACTGAGGTGCAGTAAAAAAAGCTGAAGCTTTCCACACGGAAGTGGCATGAACAGACTCACCTGTGAAATGACCTGTTCAGCTGACTCTGGAGAATGGCTCCATTTTGGAGAGCGCCTAAGTAGGACCTGGGGGCAGCACTGTCCAGTGAGAGCTGGTGGCGGGACAGGTTCTGACCGATGGTGGGATGAAGGGAAGTGAACGGACATGGGCCGAAGATTTGCTGAAAAGAAGATGGGAGATTGAATGTCACTCTGAGGATTACATTGTGCTTGTGGAGGGATGGTGGATGGGTGGCCATTACTGATGTACGACAGACCTGGAAAGGACAGTGTTGTGAATGGTGGATCTGTTTGGAGCATATGTGTGAGATACTGTTAAGCATCCAGGTGATGATGGTGAGTTAGGTACCCATGTCTCCAGGAGACCTCAGGGAGAGAGGTGAGCTGAGGACAAGAATCAGTGACTCTGCATATAGATGAATGCAAAACCACAGGGCCAAACAAATGCCATGCCCCAGGGAGATTAAGCAGGCAGGAAGGATCAGGGGCTGAGGGCCATTTGCTGAAGATGGTCAGTGGTCAGATATGAAGTAGAGGAAACCTGCAAAAAAGGCTGAGACAGAGCAGCTGGTGAGAATGGAGGAAATTCCTAGGGATTGATTGCATTGAAATGTAGTGGGATAGAAAAATCCAAATGAGCTTTATGTTACCTTTAGTGCATAAAATATATTTTTGGCCACCTAAAATATGAATCTCATGCAGGGGATTCATCTTTTACTGCCAATTCTTCTGCATTAACCACCTGCTCTGTTTGCAGAATTCATACATGAAATACTGTTGAGAGAATAGAAGGGTCCCATAGATCCCAATGGCTGAAGCCTAAAAGTGGTCTCTGATCCCATTTTATTTGCTAACCAAATTCAGTCTATGCAAGTACCTGTCTAGTTGGTTCCATTTTTTATTTTTTTAATTTAATTTTATTTTTTCCTTTTTCTCTTTTTATCGGTACCAGGGATCGAACTCACGACCGCCTGCTTGGAAGGCAGGTGCTTATGCCACTGAGCTAAATCCCCAGCCCCCGGTTCCATTTTTAAACAACCCATTTCTACCTACTTCTCTCACTCACCTCCACTGCCTTGCCCTGAACCACTCTCCTGGACAAGGACAGTGCTCCTTAACTGTTGGGCAGCCCACCTCCTGCCAGTAGCTAAAGAAGTCTTCACAGAATATTAGTCACAACAGGAGACTGGTTAAATAAGTAACAGTGCAATACACATACGCATTGATACAGCCACGCAAAATAAACAGTGATCATAAGAATGATTTTGCACTTCTGATACAAATGATCTTCAAGAAATGACATTAAAAAAAGCCAAGTGTGAGTATACGAAGTTGTACTCAAGGATTTCAAAGAAAGAGACAATATGGTAACTACTTTTAGGTTAGGATTATCTGGTGGTGAAACACTATTCTGCTTAAATGGTTATGTTTTGATCTGCGCTGTTTCGTTATTATGCCCTCTTTTATCTCAATCTCCACTCCATTATTTACTTTTTTATCTTTATCCTTTTAATTAAAGGAAAAAATAGCAGGATATATTATAGTAACCCACTTTGACTTTTCATTACCTTGATTTAAAGCCCTGTATTACTCTCACCATCTGGTTTTTAACTGATGTTCCCCTATTCTGTTTTGCTGGATAGTATCAGGTTCGAAAGTTTAGGCATCAGCTGTGAAGATAATGAGATTCATTATGACGCCCATTCTTGTTGACTTTTAGCTACTTTTGAAGACCTACAATGTCTCCAATGTTTTGGTTTTGTCGGTTTTATTCTTTACTGTTTTGTTCAATTGTATTATAACTAACGATATAGGCAATTCTATTAGAGATAGCGGGAGGCATTATAGTAACCATTGTTGATCACCTGTATTATGTTTTTACATTATCTATTATGTCCACCCTTTTGACTTGACCGATTCTGTTCTGTTATGTCACATTTGGTTTTACTCTCTTCCAAAAAAGTAATAAGAACCGTGGGAGCAATGAAACCCAAAATGTGTAATAGTCATGGTACAAAAGAGAGGAAAAGAAAGTGCTCCAAAATATATAACTGCATGTATATTTAAGTGTATAAGATAGAAAATGATATCACAGAGTTTTATTGGATCAATGAACAGAACTGTTTGCAGTATCATTGATGGAATGTCCACTTTACAAGCTTTAATTTTGTGACTTGAACAATTCTTTCTAAGATGACAATATGTAATCCATTAACTAGTGATTTCCTACTGTTCATTTTTTTTTCTGTAAATCTGTATAACTTGTACCCTTTCCCTGCTTTTTTTTTTCTTTTCTCCTTAAATAAAATTAAAAAAAAAAAAGAAGAAAAAAAAAAAAAGCCAAGCGTGGTTAAGATGCCACCATTTGTAAAAGAAAAGGAAAGGAAGTGTATGCGCGTGTTTGTATGTAAGAAAACACATGACACTGGTATCTAAGTGGCATCCAGGGAGAAGAGGGGGATGGGAGGGTGGCATGTTTTAGTGTCTCTGAAGTTTGAATCATATAACCGTTAGTCATATTATTTGTTCAACAATAAATCAATTAATTTTTACATGAATGAAATCTTTAACTCTTAATTTCTCTTGCTTTCTTGCCTAGCAGAAAATCTAGTCTTCTCACCTCAGTGGCCTCATATGCAGCCTGCTCCCACCTCTGGTTTTATCTGCCAGTGCTTCCTTCCTCACTGACAGTGGTTCCGGCCACACTGACCTCCTCTTGGTCCTCAGTGTGACAGGGTTAGTGCCTTCAATGGGCTGGTGCTTCTGCTGGTCTCTGTATCTTTAGCTCCCTGGACACTCCTGTGTGGCTCACTCTCCAGGTTCTGCTCAGAAGTCATTTTTCAGAAAGGTCTGCTAGACCTCAGCTGAAATTTGCCTCCCTTACCCCTAGTACTGAAAGTCATGGAAGTTCTTAACACTGTGATGTTATAATAGCTTGTGTTTTGTTACTTTACAGTTCACAGGAGCAGTGTATAGATTGCAATTCAAATTTGGGTTTTGTTTTCTTTTAGCTCTTAAGCAAGTCCCAAACCTCATTAGGTTTTGTTAAAATTTGGTGAAGTCTGAAATATAATGTGCCAGTCTGGAGACCTCACTAGGAGTGGGCTGAATAGGACTGATAGTTGCCCATTTCAGGCTGAGGAGATGGGCCAGTTAGGGGAGGTATATGATGGGGAGCAGAAGTCTCCCCCTTCAGGGTACTGACTCCATGCTCAGCATGGGAGAATAATCAGCTTTTTGCCTTACTATTTTCTATTCCTTGCCTTCGCCCCCACTGGAATTGCAGTCTATGCTTATGATCAACAACTACTGTGATAGTTTCTTTCTTTACTGGGAATTGGTAGTTTGTCTTTTGATTTTCTTCTTATAAATGAGTGATATGTTTTAGCCCAGAAAACAGTATATAGAGTTTCTAAATAACATCATCAAATTAAATGCTGTGCCACACTGACTGAAGGAAGCCATTCATCTCTTTGTTTCTTAAAAGGAATGAAATGGTTGATCAGTTTTGCCTCTGTGTGTTTTATTTATTACAACTGATAGAAACACCAACATTTACAGCCGGAGAATTGAACCCATATTCTAGTCTAAGCGTATAAATACAATGTTGTTTTCTAGACACTATGTTCATATTTTATTTTCTTAATTTAGACAGCAGCTGAAAACACAAGGGCTGGGTTTGTAATGACCAGGAGGAAGTCGTGAATCTCTGAAATTTGACAACAGATGTCACTAGTGCCACATAACTCACAGAGCCATCAGTGCTACCTGACATTTCAGAGCTCCTGCATCTTCTTTGGCATATTATACATTTTTGTAAGAATGAAGTGGTATATTGTAAAAAATTTCTGCCTTCTTGCACTATCCCCTATTTTTACCTGCACTGACTCTAGAAAGTCACAAACATAATCCCCATTTTATGGACAGGGAAACTGAGGCTCAGAGCTATCCAGTATTGCCCAAGGCCATGCAGAGATGATCTTTGCCTGTCTGTCTTCACAGCTCTTTTCATGCTATCCTTGGTTAAAGTTGAGCGTCACTATAAACAGTCCCCAAAGTCTACTGTGCTTTCAGCCACCATCTGAGCCAATTAGAGCTACTTGGAACAGGAGTGTCACACTGAAGCAGATCAATAGACATGGAGTAGGCTGAAAGGTGGAATTTAAGTGAGCAAATGATGGCACAGAAGCTCACAGAATCAGAATCCCCACAGGGCCCCTATCCTGCAGCTCCTGATGCTAAGTCACTGACATTTGAAAATCCTTCTCTTTAACAAATGATGCATTCCATTTCTTTTCCCATGAAGCAGCAATCAGCTTTGTCATCCATTCTTCGGGAAACCAGCTTGAGTGTGCCAGGAAGATGGCAACTGAGATCTTGAGAGGTCTCTTTCTTAGAAAATCTGGGAACAAAGAAGCCGTATTGTGTCCTTTGACACACAGTCCTCTTTTCAATAAGACATGGAGAATATGTTCATCACCCAAAGCTCTGGTGATGATGGGGAGGGCAGGGACAAAAGAAAGAGTTGCAGAGGTCATGTCCTGTCCTTGGGGTGGAGAATAAGAGGGTCACTAATGTTGAGTAGTTTCTACCTTTATACATCTGCTCTCTTCGGGTATCAATAGCCCAGCTAACTAGCTATTACAGATGGAGAATGAAAGTCTTAGAAGTCACATAATTTAGCCAGGACCCACAGGCTGGATGCAAAGCATGTCCTTCATCCATTCTCCTGTGAATTCCCACTCTTCATGGTTCTAGTGTCAGATTATTTTTTTGATGGAGTGGGATCTTATTATATAGTTCAGGGTGGCCTTGAACTAATGGCAACTCTCCTGCCTCAGCCTCCTGAGCGCTTAGTTTATAGGCACCATGCCTGGTTCCAGTGTCAGCTTTTGCTCATGCACTTCTCCAAGGAAGATGATCAGAGGTATGACTTCAACCTGACTTCTGGTTCAGGCTGGGCAGCCATGGATAGGCCTTACCACCCTTCTAATTCTGTTTCCAAAGATAAAAAGAGAGTGAGAGTCATTACGATGGGCTCAAATCAGACATGGTCTATCCACCATCTGTTACGGTTTGTTTGGTGTCTCCCCAAGCCTCATGCAATCATGGAAGTGGCTGAATCTAGTGTTTGTGATTGGCTCATTGTCTAGCACTGGGA